ATGGACAAAGACAACATATAGTACACTGAACATATTTAAAGTTTACAACTTGATAAGTTTTGACATGTGTTTACATATATAAAAATCATCAGCCCAATCAAGAACATATCTGATATCTTCAAAAATCTCTTTGTGCTCATTTGTCATCTCTTCAGCTCACCTTTCCCTGCCTCTCCCCTGGTCTCCAGGCAACCTGGTGATATAAACCTTCTCTTCTTTGTATCACCATAGATTAGTTATTTTTTTGGAAGAATTTTAGATAAATGAAACCAAATAAAATGTACTGTTTTCAACTCAGCATAATTATTTCTTTGTAGAAAATTATAGAAAATAATTTCTTTGTAGAAAATAATTTCTTTGTGGAAAATAGAGATGTTTGAAGTTCTTTTTTCTTTTTTTTTTAAGATTGAGTTTTGCTCTGTCACCTAGGCTGAAGTGCAATGGTGCAATTTTGGCTCACCACAACCTCCACCTCCCAGGTTCAAGAGATTCTCCTGCCTCAGCCTCTCAAGTATCTGGGATTACAGGCATGTGCCACTATGCCTGGCTAATTTTTGTATTTTCAGTAGAGGAAGGTTTTTCACCTATGTTGGCCAGGTTGTTCTTGAACTCCTGACCTGAGGTGAACTGCCCACCTCGCCCTCCCAAAGTGTTGCGATTACAGGCATAAGCCACGGCACCTGGCCAGAAATTCTTGTTTTCCAGTATGAATGTTTTAAATTTATTTTTGTTTTCTTGTTTCCTGGCTAAAGCCTCTAGTGCAGTGTAAAACAGAAGCTATAAGAGGAGATACCCTTCCCTAATTTCAGATCTTAGTAGGAAAGCATTCTGTTTTTCACTATTTAAAATTACATTAATGGAGGTTTTTCATACATGCTCAGGTAGAGAGAAATTCCTTCTACTCTTATTTGGTGGAGTTTTTTTGTTTTTTAAATCAGGAATGGATGTTGAATTTCAACAAATACTTTTCTACATTTACTGATAGAAATATATATTTTTCCTTTGCCTGGTTTGATAATGTGGTAAATCACATTGATTCATTTTTGAATATCAAAACAAGATTTATTCCTGGGATAAATCCAATTTAATAATGATGTGTTGTTCATTTCACACAATGTTGAATTTAATTTACTAAGAACTGGCCAGGAATTTTTCCTTGTGTGTTCATAAGGGATATTGGTCTGTAATAGTATTTTTTAATATTTTTGTCCAGCTTTGACAAACTCATGAGTTGTAAGTATTCTCTTCTTTTCAATTTTCTAGAAGAAATGAACAATTTGTGTCTGAATGTTACTTTTCTAGTTTTTAAAATGCTTGATAGACCAGTGAAGCCATAAATTCCAGGCTTGAAGTTTTCTTTGTGGGAAAGTTATAACTGGAAATTCAATTTCTTCATAAGATAAAGGGCTATTATGGTTATCTATGTCTTCTTGAGTGAGAATGTGGATCTTTCAAGGAATTTGCCCACTTTACTTAAGTTGTCAAATTTAGTATTGCAAAATTGTTTATTAAATTTAGTGTAAAAAGTAATTAAAGTTAAATTAAATGTAAAATTCTCAATCACACTAGCAGATATTGAGGATAATTCTCAATAAATATCTATGGCTCTTTGCTCCTATATTGGACAGCACAGATATAGAACATTACCATCATTGTAGAAAAGTTCTATTGGCAGCTCAGGAGATGACTGTTAACAGTTAATATAAGTGGCATGTATGATAAAACTCATTCTTATATGTTATTAATTAAGGTTTAAGATTGGGAATAAGTCAGCTCAAGCTAAGAAGTGAGATTTGTCCCGAAAATCAATTCAGTCCTAAGAAGGTTTTCATTTTTAATAATACTTTTAATCTGGAAGGTAGAAATTAGATCCACATACTTATTTGCAGAGATTAAATTCCCTTTTAGTATAGGGTTTATCTAAGTAGACAGTACTTTCTGCATTCAGTAGGGCAAGTTTCAGAGTGAAGATGTCCTCTCCTACTTGGCTTGGTGAAGCCTAGAAAAGAGGGAAGTATATTTAAAACAAAAAACCATCACCATAGATCTTCTAATCACCAAGTTCTATCCTTTGAGAAAACATGTGACTCCCTGTGAGTATTTTGTAGTTCTGTAAAGTCTTTTTCACAGAGAATTTTTCTGACTCATTGCTGAAAAAGATAGTTTGGTATGTATTTCTACTGAAATATGGACATGCTTTAGCTATCCTGAAACCTGCAAATCAGAATTTCCATGGTGAAACCATCACTTGTTACAGGGATTGATATTTTAATGGGTTAGGGAAACTCAGAAAGCTGCCCTGAGAAGAGTTTCCTCTTTGTTTTGCTTGCATTTCTAAATGATTTGGTTCAAGTGGTTTGCCCTGTTGATGAGTATGTGTTCTAATTGTTCACACCAAAGCAGAGATAATCAATTAAAAGTAACATCTTGATCTAAAGAGTTGGTGTTTTTTCAGGACTGGTCTTGTGGGAATGGAAAAAATATCTTTACAGTTTAGGATTGGTGAGAACCTTTATTGATAGCTTTGTTTTTTAGCCACCCATATTTTTGTACCCAGGAGGTTAGCTCTTAAAAACTGAGTATTTATTTTTCGTGGTGCTGGGTCATTTAGAGCTTATTTGGGACAAAACAGATTTGGGTTTGAATGTCCTTAGCTGTGTTATTCAGTGGATCTGACCCTCAATTCCTGAACTCTAAAATTGGTGATTAAACAATCCTTATGAGAAGATAGTAAAAGCATACTAATTACATGCCTGTAACTTACTATCACACAGATTTGTATCCATAAAGTTAGATCTGCCAATTTCTTAGTAAGTTGATCTTGTAAGCATATAAAACCTAAGTGTCCTCATTTGTAAGTGATTTGTTTTATGCGACCACCGGAGCAGGCGCCAGAGATGAGGCAAGTAGGCAAGGTAAAAAAGCTTTATTAGCTAGCCAATGTGAAGGAGGAAGGGGCTACGTTCACCGGTCTCCGGCTGTTCTCGGGTGAACTTTCCGGGTCCGCGTAAGAGCAGGGACGCAGGAAATTCGCGCGGGACGTCTGCCGGGAGCGGCTTTTTATGTCTAGGGCCTGGGAGTGGGCGGGCAGTAGGCGGGACACGGGCCTGTCGGGGGGCGTTCCGTAGGCGCGGCCAGGTGGGTTTCGGTTTCCTCGTTCGGACATCACGTTGCGCCTGCGCAGTTGGTCTGCATTTTTCCCCGGGGCGGGCTGCATTTTCCCGCGGGCGGGTAAGTTGGTGATGAAGAACCCGGAAATGCGCCATCTTAGTCGTCTTTGTCGTCTCCTCCCCGTCCAGACAGTAAGTAAGCACACACACACATACATATCATATATAATCATATTGCTGTGAAGATTAAATGTAATAGCATTTGTAAAGTACTTAGTACAGTGCCTAGTTTAAAAAATAGAATATGTCCTTGTTTTTATCAGTAGCTTATTGACAAGTAGATAACATACTGTAACTGAAATTTAGTAGATGCTTGACAAATTTTCCTTCCTTTCATTCTCCTAATCTAACCCATTACTTTTAATTCAAGTTTTGCTTTATTAAAACCAAATACATTCAGCTCTTTATATATTTTTCTTTTACTTTTCATATTTTGCTGTGTTTCTTTATTTTTCTAGTCAGATTCGACTGATTGCTTACAGAAAAATCCAGATATTATTTTACGGGTATCCAAATTTGGAATTTTAGACTTTGTCTATATGAAATTTTTTCAGCAATTTTTATCTATACATAACTATACATTGCAGAAATTGTTTCAAAAAGCAGTGCCTAAGCAAGTCACACATGGAACATAGGAGAATGAAGGAGAAATACTATTGAACTATTACTTATAGGGTATAGTAACAAAACTGTTGTAGTTTAGTTTGCAATGTTTGAGACAAAAGACATTTTCACTTAGGATTCCTGTCCAGTTAACAAGTGACATTTAGGGATGTCAAACTGCGTTCCTATTATCAAATATTACAGAATATTTATTGAAATGATGAATATAGATCAGACGATCAGGTTAAAGAGGGAGCTGCAGTTTCATTAAATTACTTCTATGCTGTCAGAGAAAAGAGAAAGTTGGAAGAATTACACTCTATAGAAACCAATGTTCAATATTATAACTAGCAGAAAAGTTAAGCAAGTGCATAAGTAAATAATGAGAATGTCAGATGAATAGTTACAACATGAAAAGAACATGTGGGGACCAGGATTTATATTGGATGCAAGTATTTTATTTCTCAAGCTTGTCAAACTCTTTCATTAATAAAAATCCATAGTCACTCACAATTTTAAAGTTTATTTTGAGTAGATTTCCTTGGTTATTGTACAATAATACAGTATAGTGTTATGTTTACACTGTACTGCAGTCTATTCAGTACATAATAGCATTATATCTTAAAAACAATGTAAATAATACAACATTTTTAAGATTCATTTTTTCTTAATGAATCGTTTTGATTTTCATAAAGTTTCAAATGAAACAGGTTTTCTACACATTAGTATAAAGATATGCTTGACTTGGTGGACCCTACAAACTTGTAATAGTCAGCAGTTCTGGTGCTTCATTATGTATATTTTTAAGTAGTCAACTTTACTAGTAAAGAAATACATTTTGAAATAAAACAATATGCTTTGCTAAGTTATGAAATTTGCAAAAATTGTTTTTAAAGATTTTTTTATGTATTTAAAAAATAAATTTACTATATACTTAATATAATAAATATATAAATAAATAATTGCAATAAATTTGCTATGTATTAATTAATGTAAATATATATAAATTTATAGTAATATAAATACATAAGTTACTATACATTAGTATAAATGATCATAAATTAAAATGTATTATATATATACACTATATCATACATGCTTATTTATAATAAATATTAAATACTGGGAAAGATATCAGAATATTAATAGTGACTTTTTGTAGTTGGAGGCATTATAGGAATATATGATAAATAAATAATCTTTATAAATTGTTATGTTTTCGACAGGAAAACGATGTGCTTGTTTAAAATATAAAGAAGCAAACATTCTTAGAGAGAGGAAGCGGGAGTGCAGGAGCAATTCCAGTGGTCTAAGTAGGCACAACAGGTAATCAGTACACTTTTCAGAATGCCGTTTTATCTAGGTTGATTTCCCTTATGAATCTTCTAAACCTTGCACATGTTTACCTTTGATTGAGTATAACCAGAAATTTAGTTTCCTTGAAGAAATGGCTTTGCTTGATGATATGGTTTGGATCTATGTCTCCACCCAAATCTCATGTCCATTTGTAATCCCCAGTGTTGGAGGGGGAACTAGTGGGAGGTGATTGGATCATGAGGGTGGATTCTTCATGAACGGTTTTAGCACTATCCCCTTGGTACTGTTCTCCTAACAGATGTCTCACGAGATCTGGTTGTTTGAAAGTGTGTAGCATGGGCCCCCACACTCTCTCTTGCTCCTGCTCCCACGACGTGAGATGCCTTGCTGTGCTTTTGCCTTCTGCCATGATTGGAAGTTTCTTGAGGCTTCCCCAGAAGCAGATGCAGCTATGCTTCCTGCAAGGTCTGAAGAAATGTGGGTCAATTAAGACTAGCCTGACCAACATGGTGAAACCCCGTCTCTACCAAAAATACAAAAATTAGCTGGGCGTGATGGTGGGTACTTGTATCCCAACTACTCGGCAGGCTGAGGCAGGAGAATCGCTTGAACCTGGGAGGAAGAGGTTGCAGTGAGCCGAGATCACGCCATTGCACTCCAGCCTGGGTGATAAAAGCGAAACTCGGTCTCAAAAGACAAACAAACAAACAAAAACTATTCTTTTAAAATTACCCAATCTCGACTGTTTCTTTACAGCAATGAGAGAACATACTAATACCCCTGATCTTCTATAATCTAAGAGCAAGGAGAGCTGGTATTAAAGAGCCTAAAGCCTGGCCAGGCCCCAGGAACTTTGCTAGTGTAGCAGACTGACAATAAATATCTTCGGTAATTGCACAGCTCTTGCTGCTCTCAATCTGTTTTTGCATCCAAAGGGCTATGATAGTGCACCTGATATTTGAGGCTTTTATCATTCCAGTTTGGCTTTACAAACTTTCTAAAACGGTAATATAGGGTGGGAAATTCTGGCTTGAACAGCCATCCATTAGTATCCCAGACATATTGTGGTTGCTGCCGGTAATGATTCCTGAGCTGTTCTATTAAAGGCAAGGTATTACTCGGCAAAGTTTACGATAGTAGTCTTGCTGAAACAAGCAAATACCTTCTATTATGCTAATGTTCTATTTATATAACAAATAGCTGGCCTCTGGTTCTGCTTTGTCCTCTTACGTGTGTCTGGGCTATTGGGTTTGCATGTTGGTGAGTATTTTTAGGCTCCTTCAAGCAGCCAGAACAGCAGTTGGTGCAGGATCATCCTGACAGCCTGTTTTAGATCTCGACACCTGATGCTTTCTCTGAGTGCTTTAGAAAAGCAGCATTTATAATTTCCATCTCTAATATAGTCATAAAAATCTGACGTATCTTTTCAGAAGAGAGCTTTGCTATAAAGAGGGAAAATTGAAGTAAATTAAGTCAGGGAGGTTTTTGAGCCATCAAGTAAGATGTTGTATACCATCATGACATTTCAACCCACAACTTGGTGCTAAATCTTATCAATTGAGCTGATGAGCTATGTCTGCATAAAAGTAAGAATACTAAGCTAGTCAAATGCCTTTCTAAGAACTTGCCTTATCACAGTGTATTTTTCTAAGCACCTAATTAAGGGCATTTATTTCTCATGGTTGTAGTAAAAGTGGAAGTATCGATAAAGACCAATTGTTTATTAGAATTTGCTCAGTGTTGAGCAGAGAAACTTGCAGAAATCTTAGACTTCATCCATTTGGGTATTCATAAAAGCGTCAGATGCCTTCATAATTGGAAGCTTATTGCAATTAAATACCAATAGGTTCTTTCTTTGCATGATTGCAGAAAGAAATATTAACAGAAATGGATAAACGGAAAAGATTATAGTGCATAAACTAATTGTTAATGTACTTGCTCTGCTGTTTTAGTGACCAGCAGCTTTGTTTTGCCTCCAACTGTCCCTTTCCAACTGTATTCATGAGGGAAAATATTTCCATGCATTTGGATTAAAACTTACAAATTTCCTCTGACTTTTCTCCTCACACTGAGATAATAAATAGATTTATAACATCTTAAAGTCTTGAATCTAGCCTTAATTTAGAGATTAGATTAGATAGCCAAGTCCAAGATTTTAATTACACATTTCAATAGTGATTCGAAGGTAAGTGTCCTACCTCCTGCCTATACCCCCCAAGTAAAGACTGAAGTTGTCTATAGGAATGGCGATACAGCCAGATCTTTCTCCTTTATTCCACTCACCTCTTTTGTCCTTCATACAAGAGTGGGAAAAGATAGCATGGGAACCACAGGCTCCTGGTCCCCCAATGCTAAAAATCACTAACATGATTAACAGGAGAAAAGGCATACAAATGTATTTAACATAGATGCATGAAAATCTAGTTTCCCAATGAGTTACAGAAACTTAATGTACCATTTTGAGGTTATGGAATGAATAGGGGCTTATATTCTGGCTAGCAGGGGAGGTCTTGTTATGTAGTGAAGCCTCCCCTAGAGAGAATAGATGGTAAATGTTTCTTTTCAGTTTTTTAAAGGTGTCAGACTCTCAATCCCTCCTGGATCTGGGGAAAGGTATAGAAAGGGAGGGGGCATGACTGTATTCGTGGAGATTATCTATAGATGGAAATTTTCCCCACTTAATTCAGCTTTGCAAGGCCACTTCTGTCAGGATGGCTAAGGGCAGGCATTTCAAAATATGTCAAAGGAGTAGTTTTTTTTTTTTTTTTTAAATTTCCTTCAATAGGAAGAGGAGGTGAGAGGATAAGTCATTTTTAAATCTTCCCAATTGTTGAGTCTTTGGAATAATCCTTGATTCTCCTTTTAATATATCCAATTTTTCAGGAAATCTTGTGGATGCTACCTTCAATATACATCCAGAATTCACAACTTCTGCTGCTACTAGTGGACTCCAAGCCACTACCATCTCTCATCTATATTATTTTCATCTACCCATTCTCATTGTCTCTACGCTTGTCCCTTTGAGCTTAATGAGAAGCTAGTGTGATCCTTGCTTAAAGCTATGAAATGACTCTTTGTTTTACTCATAGCAAAAGTCAAAGTTGTTAGAATGAACTATAAAGCCCAACACAACCTGGTCCCCACGATCTCTCTGACTTCATCTACTATTAGGTTTCCTTGCTGTATTAGCACAGCTACATTGGCCTTTTTCTTGTTCCTTAAGAATACCAGGAAAATTTCCATTATTTGGGTGTTTGTCCTAGCTGTTTCTTCTACCTGTGTGCTTACCTTCACAGCTCACTTCATTATCTCCTTCAAACCATTCCTCAAATTGTTACCTTCTTTTACTAATGATGCCTACTCTGTCTACCCTGGCATTCCTCATTCTCCTTAGTCTGACCTTTTTTTTTTTTTTTTTTTAATTTTTTAAATTATATTTTAAGTTCTAGGGTACGTGTAAACAACATGCAGATTTGATACATAGGTATAGATGTGCCATGTTGGTTTGCTGCACCCATCAACTCATCATTTACATTAGGTATTTCTCCTAATGCTATCCCTTATCTCAGCCCCCCACCCACCTACAGGCCCTGGTGTGTGATGTTCCCTGCCCTGTGTCCAAGTGATCTCATTGTTCAATTCCCACCTATGAGTGAGAACATGTGGTGTTTAGTTTTTGGCCTTGTGATAGTTTGCTGAGAATGATGGTTTCTAACTTCACCCGTGTCCCTGCAAAGGACATGAACTCATCTTTTTTTTGTGGCTGCATAGTATTCCATGATGTATATGTGCCAAATTTTCTTAATCCAGTCTATCATTGATGGACATTTGGGTTGGTTCCAAGTCTTTGCTGAAATAAACATACATGTGCATGTGTCTTTATCACAGATTGATTTATATTCCTTTGGATAAATGCCCAGTAATGGGATTGCTGGGTCAAATGATATTTCTAGTTCTAGATCCTTGAGGAATCGCCACACTGTCTTCTAAAATGGTTGAACTGATTTACACTCCCACCAACAATGTAAAAGCATTCCTATTTCTCCATATCCTCTCCAGCATCTGTTGTTTCCTGACTTTTTAATGATTGCCATTCTAACTGATGTGAGATGGTATCTCATTGTGGTTTTGATTTGCGTTTCTCTGATGACCAGTGATGATGAGCATTTTAGTTCATGTGTCTGTTGGCTGCATAGACGCCTTCTTTTGAGAAGTGTCTGTTGATATCCTTTCCCCACTTTTTGATGGGGTTGTTTGTTTTTTTCTTGTAAATTTGTTTGAGTTCTTTGTAGATTCTGGATATTAGCCCTCTATCAGATGGGTAGATTGCAAAAATTTTCTCCCATTCTGTAGGTTGCCTGTTAACTCTGATCGTGGTTTCTTTTGCTGTGCAGAAGCTCTTTAGTTTAATTAGATTTCATTTGTCTATTTTGGCTTTTGTTGTCATTGCTTTTGGTGTTTTAGTCATGAAGCCCTTGCCTATGCCTATGTCCTGAATGGTGTTGCCCAGGTTTTCTTCTAGGGTTTTTATGGTTTTAGGTCTTACATTTAAGTCTTTAATCCATCTTGAATTAATTTTTGTATAAGGTGTAAGGAAGGGATCCAGTTTATGACCTTTGCTTTTATGTTTGTCTCCACCATTAGAATAAAAGTTCTACAAGGGCAAAAATTTGTGTCTACTGTGTACTAATGTATCTTTAGCACCTAAAATATTATTTAACATAATAAACTCAATAAACAATTATATATTGAATTGGTTGATGTACACTTTTGGATTATTGGAAGCTTCCTGACACTAGAGACTTTTCTACTACAGTTCCTTTGACATGGACAGATGCATTCACTCTTGACTCCTAACATTTTCAGTAACCTATTATCTGCTCTAACTTCTACTGCTGTGAATCCTCAGTCCTCTGTAAAGTTCTATTCATTAGGACCAAGATGATCTCAGGAGGCCCACATCTAGTTCATAAAAAACATTTCAGTCCTTGCGCCCACACCCAAAGCTG